TCAGGGTGCAACAAATTAGGGTTTCTAAAGGACTATAGTTTTGTTTCTACTTTATATTCTTTTTAAGATTATAGTTTCATAGGTTAGTGGCTTTCAAACATTTTAGCATAGTTAGAAATCTGTTTTACATCTGGATCCATATATCCTTATATACATGTAACAGATTCATTGCAGTTACAGATATTTACTTCTACTCTTTTTTTTAAGGCTAGTCAAGTGAAGCAGTGGGAGTGGAGAGAAGGAACAAAGAAATCTGTAACTGGTTGTGATCAATTAGTTGTAAACACCACTGCACTTGGACCAGCTACTTCTACTCTTTTTATACTCTGATTTTATTTTAATCATAGTGTGACCCCTGAAATTGATTTCAGAATTAATGTCTTCATCCTTAGTTTGTTAACATTGCCCTAGGTATTATCTGTGTAAGGGTGACAGCATCATTACTGAGATGAAGTGAGGACATGTGATCCTTGTTTCTTCTTAAAGTGATTTATCCTTTTAGTCCTTTGAGGATGCTTTATTATTAGAAATATTTTTCTGCTTTGCCAGTCATTTACTACCCACACACAATTACCAGTTTTATTACCCCCTCCCTCCTTTTTCTTTTTGTAGTTTTCACTCATCATTACACAATTAGGTGTTCCTTCCCTATGTTATTAAAAGCATTTAATGCTTGAGTATTTTGTATGCTTATGAGGGAACAGCAAAGAATAAAAATCCAGTTGCAAAATACTAACATTCTTACTGAACTTCATAAAGATAAACATATGAGATACCATTACTTGATATAAACAGCTGTAAAGTAATTGGGCCATACTTGTACTGAGAGTAAAAATTAAAGATATGGGAAGGAATCTAAACTGTAGCAAATTTGGCTGGGTGCAGTGGCTCACACCTATAATCCCAGCACTTTTGGAGGCTGAGGTGGGTGGATCACTTGAGGCCAGGAGTTTGAGACCAGCCTGACCAACATGGTGAAACCCTATCTAGTAAAAATATAAAAATTAGCCGGGCGTGATGGTATGCACCTGTAATCCTAGCTACTCAGGTGGCTAAGGCATGAGAGTAGCTTGAACCCAGGAGGTAGAGGTTGCAGTGAGCCAAGATTGCGCCACAGCACTCCAGCTTGGGCGACAGTGAGAGTCTGTCTCAAAAAACCAAAAACCTCTAGTAAATATTAGGTGTTTTTTGTTTTTGTATTTGATTTTTTGTTCTTTTGAGACAGTCTCGCTCTGTCACCCAGGCTGGAGTGCAGTGGTGCGACATTGGCTCACTGCAATCTCTGCCTCCTAGGTTCAAGCAATTTTCCTGCTTCAGCCCTCTGCGTAGCTGGGACTACAGGCGCCCACCACCACCCCTGGCTAACTTTTGTGTTTTTAGTAGAGACAGGATTTCGCCATGTTGGTCAGGCTGGTCTTGAACTCCGGACCTCAGGTGATCCTTCGGCCTCCCAAAGTGTTGGCATTATAGGCGTGAGCCACTGTGCCCAGCTTTTTTTTTTTTTTTTTTAGACAAAGTTTCAGTCTCTTGTCTAGGCTGGAGTGCGATAGCATGAACATGGCTCACTAAATCCTTGACCTCCCAGGCTCAAGCAATCCTCCCACCTCGGTCTCCTAAGTAGCTGGGATCACAGGTACATATCGCCACACCAGGCTAATTTTCCTATTTGTAGGGACATGGAGTCTTCCTATGTTGTGCAGGCTGGTCTTCAACTCCTGGGAATTCAGGAGGTCAGTGCTGCAGTGAGCCATGATCGCACCACTGCACTCCAGCCTGGGTGACAGAATGAGACTCTCTATAAAAAAATTTATAAATCAAGCCGGGAATGGTGGCTCACGCCTGTAATCCCAGCACTTTGGGAGGCCGAAGGATCACCTGAGGTCAGGAGTTCGAGACCAGCCTGACCAACATGGCGAAATCCTGTCTCTACTAAAAAATTGGTTGGGCATGGTGGCGCGTGCCTTTAACCCCGCTACTCGGGAGGCTGAGGCAGGAGAATTGCCTGAACCCAGGAGACGGAGGTTGCGGTGAGCCGAGATCGCACCATTGCACTCTGGCCTGGGTGACAAGAGCGAAACTCTGTCTCAAAAAGAAAAAAAAAATTCATAAATCAATAAAAGAAAGGGTACTTCTTTTCATGTAGCTTTTGAAACATCATGTGAACATGTGATGGGGGCAAAATGATGCCTTATGAGTTAGAAAATTTTATTGTTAATGCAAATAGTGATATCACATTAAATAAGTCACATTGTTTATGTTGGTTCTGCATTAAAATAAGACACACCTCTTTTTTCTTGTCATCTTTTGAAAAAGTCATTAGTGAGAACCTATGTATTATAAGAAAAGGTTAAATGCTTAAAGTTACTTTGAATTAAGTAGTCAGGAAGCAAACACTTGGTTACCAGAAGCTAGAATGGAAAAAGCAGCTTTCTGTGTAGTCTGGTACAATATGAGGGTACTTTTCCTTTTTAGACTAGCCAGTCTTGTCCTACCTTAGGTAAAAAAAAGCCTTTCCTTTTTTTTTGAGATGGAGTTTCACTGTTGTTACCCAGACTGGTATGCAATGCCACGATCTCGGCTTACCGCAACCTCCACCTCCTGGGTTCAGGCAATTCTCTTGCCTCAGCCTCCTGAGTAGCTGGGACTACAGGCGCACACCACCATGCCCAGCTAATTTTTGTATTTTTAGTAGAGACGGGGTTTCATCTTGTTGACCAGGATGGTCTCAATCTCTTGACCTTATGATCCACCCACCTCGGCCTCCCAAAGTGCTGGGATTATAGGTGTGAGCCACCACGCCCGGCCAAAAGCCTTTCCTTTTTATGTTTTATAAGTATTTGTTCTAAGTTGTTGGTTTGTGGTAGCCAAGCTAACAAAGACTTTGGGAAAAAAGTATTCAGGTGCTAGAATAATAGCTGGTGTATGCTGGCTCTGTAAATCCTGCCCACGTTTAGGTTTGTCTGCAGCTGTTAGTACCTAATATCAAGATTTCATAGTAAAGGTATTCTGAACCTTTTTGGGAGCATAAGAACATTTTTCACGACACACACTGTGGCTCACACCTGTAATCCCAGCACTTTGGGAGGCTGAGGCAGGCAGATTGCTTGAGCTCAGGCATTCAAGACCAGCCTGGACAACATGGTGAAACCCTGTCTCTACAAAAAAATACTAAAATTAACCAGGCATGGTGACATGTGTCTGTGGTCCTGGCTACTTGGGAGGTTGAGATGGGAGGATTGCTTGAGCCCAGGAGGTCGAGGCTGCAGTGAGCTGTGATGGTACCACTATACTGCAGCCTGGAAGACAGAGTGAGATCCTGTCTTTAAAAAAACATTTCAGAGAATCTGAGCACTGAAGATTTCTTATGTAGAAAAACATATAAAACATTGGCATCTGGTTTTGTAGGTTCCATGTGACTGGCTGCTTGAAGCCAATCCTTGGGTTTAGATCGAAGCACCTTTGCCTTACAGAATTGGCATTACAGTTGTATTGGTGTTAAATACTGTTGGAATCAAATAGCGTATCCGGTCAACATGCTAACATATATGCCGAAATTATTTGGTAGTGTGATTTGATTTTATGTGAGGAAAACTTAGTGTAGCAGGTTTATTTTAAGGATCAGGTTCTTGATATTCAGTCCAGGCATGTCAAACAACTGTTACTTCTAACTCTGTTTATGAAATAAGGCTATTAAAAACTGAGAATTTTAAAGATTCATATTAGGTACTGTGGTTTGCAAACAGGGTCTGGACCTGTAATGGAGTTTTCAAATCAGTTTAATGGGTCTGACTAGCCTTAAAACAAATGAAGTAGACCAGAGTAGAAAAGAAATTATGTATCATGAAATACCTGGTTAAGTATTTGGTGAAACTTTTGCTTAAGTGTGTGTATTTATGTATATATATATATATATGTATATATATATATATACATATATATATATATGCATACATTCATAAATGTTTTTATTGGATTGCAGTGCAAATATATTTCTTTTTCTTTTTTCTTTTTTTTTTTTTGAGATGGAGTCTTAAACTCTGTCACCCAGGCTGGAGTGCAGTGGTGCAATCTCAGCCCTCTGCAGCAACCTCCACCTCCTGGGTTCAAGCAGTTCTCAATCTCCTGGGTTCAAGCAGCCACCTGAGTAGCTGGGATTACAGGCGCCTGCCACCATGCACATCTAATTTTTGTATTTTTAGTAGAGACAGGATTTCACCATGTTGGCCAGGCTGGTCTTGAACTCCTGACCTCGTGATCTACCCTTCTTAGCCTCCCAAAGTGCTAGGATTACAGGTGTGAGCCACTGCGCCTGGCTGCAAATATATTTCTTAATGTGAGATGATTTAAAAAGTTTTAAAGCCACAGCTCTGTAACTATTTGCTTTGGAGGTAGTTTGAGTATCTGAGTTCCTGATATTTTTGTGTTTTGAGAGACAGAATAGGGAGCTAAAGAGTTAGGATGCAGGAGTAAAAGAGAAACTTTATTTGAATCTTCAGTGATTAACCAATAAAGTTGAGATGGGATTTTACTCATTAAATAGTTTTGGAGAGTTGAGGCAGGATTTGTTTTGTGGAGGTTTTGAAAGCTGTGTTAACCAGAGGAAGAAATACATGTATATGTCACAAATTTGTAGATGCATTTACTGAAAATGTTGTGTATCTGGTTCAGTGAATGTAATATATGTGATACTTAACATAAAGCTATCTGAGAAAATATTCTTTCTGATTCAAGACTGGAAAGAACTACTTCAAGTAAAGTCAACTCTTCTGGCATTGCTTAGGGCAGCTGTTTGTTTTTACCAAAAATGTAGGACCTAAAGAAATGAAGGTCTTTGGACTTTTGGGCGAAGAGATAGTCAGTAGATTTTTGTGTTTTTGTTTTTTAATATGAAATCATTTTCAGGAAAGGTTATATAAATAAGCATCGGATATTTACGTTTAAGAAATTGAATTATAAATGTTGACTTAGTGTCTTCTTTTTTTCTTTTATTTCTTTCAAAGGTTTGGGCCCCATGGTATCCCTGTGACAGTATTTCCCAAAAGGGAATATAAGGATAAACCAGAAGCCATGCAGCTCCAAAGTAATACATTCCAAGAAGGGACAGAAGTCAAGTGTGAAGCAAATGGTGCTGTTCCCGATGACCCTTCTCCTGTCCCGCCTCCAGAGCTGAGCTTGGCTGAAAGCCTGTGGACTTCCAAACCACCACCTCTCTTCCATGAAGGAGCACCTTATCCTCCCCCTTTGTTTATCAGGGACACATATAACCAATCAATACCTCAGCCACCTCCTCGGAAAATTAAGCGACCTAAACGAAAAATGTACAGGGAAGAACCCACTTCAATAATGAATGCTATTAAATTACGACCCAGGCAAGTTCTGTGTGATAAATGTAAAAACAGTGTTGTTGCTGAAAAAAAGGAAATTAGAAAAGGTAGTGCAAGTGACTCTTCTAAATATGAAGATAAAAAACGGAGAAATGAAAGTATAACTACTGTGAACAAAAAACTGAAAAGTGACCATAAAGTGGATGGGAAAAACCAAAATGAGAGTCAGAAAAGAAATGCTGTGGTTAAGGTTTCAAATATTGCTCACAGCAGAGGCAGAGTAGTAAAAGTTTCTGCTCAGGCAAATACATCAAAAGCTCAGTTAAGTACTAAAAAAGTTCTCCAGAGTAAGAACATGGATCATGCAAAAGCTCGGGAAGTGTTAAAAATTGCCAAAGAAAAGGCACAAAAGAAGCAAAATGAAACCTCTACTTCCAAAAATGCACATTCAAAAGTCCATTTCACACGTCGATATCAGAATCCTAGCTCAGGTTCCCTTCCACCCCGGGTTCGTTTAAAACCACAGAGGTACAGGAATGAAGAAAATGATTCTTCTCTGAAGACAGGACTTGAGAAAATGCGGAGTGGCAAGATGGCACCCAAGCCCCAGTCTCGCTGCACCTCTACCCGCTCAGCAGGTGAGGCCCCTTCAGAAAATCAGAGTCCCTCAAAAGGCCCTGAAGAGGCCAGCAGTGAGGTTCAGGACACAAATGAAGTGCATGTGCCTGGTGAGCAGGATGAACCACAGACATTGGGCAAAAAGGGCAGCAAAAGCAATATCTCTGTTTACATGACCCTAAATCAAAAGAAATCTGACTCTTCCAGTGCTTCAGTGTGCAGCATTGATAGCACAGATGATTTGAAATCTTCCAACTCTGAGTGTAGTTCTTCTGAAAGCTTTGAGTTTCCTCCAGGCAGTATGCATGCACCTTCCACCTCCTCCACTTCCTCCTCTTCAAAGGAAGAGAAAAAGCTCAGTAATTCCTTGAAAATGAAAATCTTTTCCAAAAATGTCTCTAAATGCGTCACACCAGATGGCAGGACCATATGTGTAGGGGACATTGTTTGGGCCAAGATATATGGCTTCCCTTGGTGGCCAGCCCGTATTCTTACTATAACTGTGAGCCGGAAAGATAACGGCCTTTTAGTCCGACAGGAGGCCCGTATTTCATGGTTTGGGTCTCCAACAACATCTTTCCTTGCTCTTTCACAACTCTCCCCCTTTTTAGAAAACTTCCAGTCACGCTTTAATAAGAAGAGAAAGGGCCTGTATCGCAAGGCTATCACAGAGGCAGCTAAGGCTGCCAAGCAGCTGACCCCTGAAGTACGGGCTTTGTTGACACAATTTGAAACCTGAACATGGACAGTAAGGTAGGCAAGACCATTGGAAGTCACCACAGATTTTCTAGTCGAGTTAGGGATAATTTCTACAAAATAGCTTGGCCAGATTGGAGAGAGAAGTTGCACTCGGTTGGCTTTTTAATACTTAACCTTATAGCCATTTTTAGACTGAGAAGCTTAAACTGAACATATAATCAAATTTTGTGTTGAGATTTTAGCAGTATTTTTCAGTTTTGAAGTCCAAAACCATCCCAAGGCATAGGAGCCATAGCCTCAACTGAATTGAATTTTTGTAGGGACTGTTAATTGCCATTTGTACCTAATACTGTATATATACGTATATATACATATATATTTGAAATAGAGCCTGTCACTATGTGACACAGGTTGCGTATTTGGGATTGCAGTAAGGGCTTGGTGAGCTGGGGGAATAATGTGGATATTTAATGACTACTTGTTTTTTAAATAATGAACACTTAGCCTTTCTATGCACATAACGGTGTACAAGTTAGATGGTTAGGTGTTTGACAAACAGATGCTTGCTGTTCAGTTACAGACTGGGGAAATAGCCCAGTATTTGGGATTAAAACTGTCAAGACTAGATAGGTTTTAGTCATCACTGTCGTTTGTCCAGTGGGTATTTAATCAATACTTTCAAGCTTCTGGTTTGGGAGTGTAGATAGGTTTGACTTTGGATATGTAAATAGTTGATTGCTAAATTTGGTCAGATTTCTCCTGACTGGCTGTTCCTAAATTCTTAGGATATGTCCCAGTAAAATTACACTTTGTGAATTAATTGTTATTTGTGTAATTGTTGCATTTTGGATGTAACCTAATTTGATAATTAAAAAAAAATAATTTCCGTTTAAGGTATCTGTTTGCAGGTCAGAAAATGAGAAAATGTAATTGTGTAATGCTCTGAAATGTATAAAACAAAAACAAAAAAGCTGTAAATAAAATCAACTAAATCCAAATTATTTGTGTGTGTTTCTCAAAAAGCTTTGAAAAATTTCAAGATGGTAGAAAATTATTCTTTGTAAGAGTGTTTAGAAGAGATGAAAAATCAAACTTTTATTTTGCTATTTGCCCTATCAGGGAATATATTATCTGAGATTAGAAAACTTCAAATAATGAGAGATGAATTACTGTATTCTCAAAATAAGATTTTGTAGTATAGAGGTTTGATAATGCTTCTAGATTTGATATCCTCTTCCTGCCAATTTCTCATAAATGTGTGAATTTTAATTTTTAGCCTTAATATTTCATCACATGCTTCCTTTTTTTACATTTGGGTAATTACAAGTGGTGTCTTCTGTTTGGTTTTCTGCCTCATGTATCACTGCTTTTGGGGCTAGTAACATAGCTTACTATTTTTCTACATGGTCCATCTGTCCCTACGATTTGATTTCTTATTTTCCAGTTTTAGCTTTGTATTATTAGTGAGAAATATATCTGATTGGCTGTGGAGGAAAGTTTGTCTCAAGATTTTTAAAGTTGCTTTTGTACTTTTTATGTCTAACAACTTTCGGACAGTTAATTTCAAAACTTTTAGAAATTTAAGACTTAGCAGTTTTTGTGGATTTCTAAATCCAGTTTGAAATGTCTTAGTTACTGTGAACTCATAATGAAAAGATTAATGGAGATTGAAAATCAGTAGTCTTGTCAGCTTTCTTAAGGTTATGGACTGATTACGAATTTCTGCAAAAGCAAGTAGAATTTCTTCTGGGGAACTCAGTCAATGCTTTTTGATTATAATAAACACACAATTTAAAAATAGATGTTTCACTTGAGTAGAACATATTCTTTCCTGCAAACAGAAACAACTATACTTAAAAAATTATTTGATTGAAATTCACAGTGTGGTTAAGAAGTTATAAGAAACTATCCTAAAATATTTTCCAAGTATTTGTTTCAGATTAATGAACTTACTCATTCAGGTGTTTTTAAAAGTTTGCAATCTAAAGTTTAGAAAGTCTTAAAAGTCACCAAAATAGTAATTCCAAGGCTTTGTGTCCTGATCTGGGTGAGTTTTATCATCTGAAGTGTACATTACTAATATGGTCAAGTGCTGGGTAAATGTGCTCTTGTGGCATAAACCAAATTTAATTTGTTTCAGAAGCCATGGGGAAAGAGAAGAAAAAAAATCATGATTGTTGACTATAATAGTTTTGTAGAACATACCTTTGAGGAAAAGGTTGAGCATATCACAAATGATATTATGCCAAATGATCCCTTCACTTTAAATTGGCAGTCTGGCATATTTCATTTGTAGTTTCAGTAGGGAAGCAAGTTTTGAAGAATCTCTATAATCTTAAATGTGTATTCTAAACACTAATCCAATAGCTATATATTAAAAACTTATTCAAATGGAAATGTCTTAGGTAAATCTGTCCAGTATCTACTGCAGATGGAGATAGAGTTGAATTGGGTAGTTGTAGCCACTTTATATTTCTCTTTGAAATGACAAAAGAAGGCACTTATTCTTGATACGGAGAGAACAGAAGTGGGTATTTTTTCCCCTTGCAGTGGGAATAAACTGGCTTAGACCAAATCTGTGGTGTAAGAGTTGTGGCTAAAACAAAGGATTGGCAAGGGGAGCAACCAAGTGAAGAGATGTAAAAGCTAAGAGTGTATTTCTAGAAATTCTCAAAAATGTAAAGCGTCAGAGTATTTTTTCCTTTTTACTTTCTAGAATTTATAGACCAGGAAGCTGAATAATCATTTGGAAGGAACATCCATTCAGATGTGGAACCAAAGATCAAATAATTAACGATGAGAGGCCAGGTGCGGTGGCTCACTCCCATATTCCTAGACGTTTAGGAGGCCAAGGTGGGATGATCACTGAGGCCAGGAGTTTGAGACCAGCCTGGGCAACATAGACCCCCCGATACCCTCCTCCATCTCTGCAGAAAAATAAAAATTTAGCTGGGTATGGTGGCATACACTTACAGCCCCAGCTACTTGCTTGTATCCTAGCTACTTGGTAGGCTATGATCATTTGAGCTCAGGAGTAGTAGACTGCAGTGAGCTGTGATCACACCACTGCACTCCAGTCTGGGCAGGAGTGAGACCCTGTCTCTGAAAAAAACCCTATACATCAGTGATATAGGGAAACTGGGATTCACTAGTCTGAAGCCTTTTTGCATGACTTGATGGTGTGTTCCTAGACGGTTCTGATGGAGAAAAACATCTGGAAGTAGTAATATGTAGATTAGCACTAAGTTGAATAGGCAGGAATTTTGATGTGAAAACAGACTGTAGTCAAGGACAGGACTAAAATCACTAAATGTAGTGAGGCTGAGTATCTAAATTGCAAAATATTGAGTTACACTCCTATTAAAGCAGGTTGTACTTTTCTAAAAATTGGTTACGTTGAAGGAAAGGTCACAAGTCTATAGAATAACTGAATTGGGAATCGGAAATGCCTTGTCTGTAATTTGTATCTAAAATTAGGTTTTCCTTTTAAGTTGTGAATTTTCTATGGTCTGTGCTGCATGCTTTCCCTTTTATTAGTACAGCTGAAGATATGGATAAATGTCTAGAAAAATGAATGTTTTGATACAGGAATTTGTGCCTAGTGATGGCCTCCAATAGAGAATTTTCCAGCGAGAATGAAGACCCAATTCCTAAGTTGGGGCAAATTTTGTTTTCATTTTGTTATTGTTCTAATATTACAGCTTTTAAAACAATCTCTTAAAAACTGCTGGATATGGCCGAGCATGGTGGCTCACTCCTGTAATCCCAGCACTTTGGGAGGCTGAGGCAGGTGGATCGCCTGCGGTCAGGAGTTTGAGACCAGCCTGGCCAATGTGGTGAAAACCCATCTCTGGGCCGGGCACGGTGGCTCAAGCCTGTAATCCCAGCATTTTGGGAGGCCAAGGCAGGTGGATCACGAGGTCAAGAGATCGAGACCATCCTGGTCAAGATGGTGAAACCCCGTCTCTACTAAAAATACAAAAAATTAGCTGGGCATGGTGGCGCATGCCTGTAATTTCAGCCACTCAGAAGGCTGAGGCAGGAGAATTGCCTGAACCCAGGAGGCGGAGGTTGCAGTGAGCCGAGATCGTGCCATTGCACTCCAGCCTGGGTAACAAGAGCAAAACCTCAAAAAAAAAAAAAAAAAGAAAACCCATCTCTACTAACCTTGTCTCTACTAAAAACAAAAATTAGCTGGGTGGGTGGCATATACCTGTAATCCCAGCTACTCAGGAGGCTGAGGCAGAAGAATCGCTTGAACCCGGGAGGCAGAGGTTGCAGTGAGCTGAGATCTCACCACAGCACTCCAGTCTGGGTCACAGCAAGACTCTGTCTCAAAAAAAAACAAAAAACCGAAAAACAAACTTGGGATATATAAGGGAATTCAGATATACAACAAGAGGCTGATGCTATGTCAATTTCCAGGAGAAAATAAAACATTGAGGGTACGTTAGTTACTTCTACCTGTATCTGAGTTAGTTCATAGGCCCTTAATATCCAAATATACAATTTGTGCAGATTCACTGTATCCTTCATTTAACAAATGAACAGGATTAAAAAATGAAAGCATTAGCTAATAATAATATGCTTTTTTGTGCTATTTTGAATGAAGGAATAGGAAGTTTAATGTCACAGTGATATAGCTGATCTGTATATTTTTAGTTTTTCAGGGAATTTTGATGTCTTTACCATGGATAAATGACAATAACAGAAACAACTCTTTGTCTTATCTTTACTCAAGTTAGAGACCTAACATTTAGAGATCTAAACAGGTTTTTTTTTTTCCTATGTCTTGTGGCATTGCATGGAAATCATTTTCTCCTTGTTATTAACAGAGCACTGTGATTTTTGTATGTGGTATTTAAAAATTGTGGTTAAATAGATGTAAAATTTATCATCTTAATCATTTTAAATAATTATATAGTTCTCTGGCATTAAATATATTCACAATATTGTTCAACCATCACCTTCCATCTGTAATTTGATTTTGATAGAAATCTTTTCAATTTGGGATGTCACTGTCTAGAAGGTGTTAGAAATTAAGTTACAGGAGT